CATAAAGATGCTATGAGTATCAGAATGGAATATCCATCCATCCGAGTTCTTGCAAAAAATACAAGTTAGGTAGAAATTTTAATTTGCAAATGAAAAATGATATGTTTCTTCACGTTCAACCTCAAGTTATAGGCAGGTTTTTGAGCATTCTGGGTAAATGTTATGGCGGCATTTTGGATTTTCCGTCCTATGTTCTTGAAGGTGGAGGCTTGTCTACAGGTTTCCAGTCAAACAGTTTAAAGAATTCATTTGAAAAGATTGGCATCGATATGGTGAACTGAATTTAATAATGTTTTTAAACCAATTATTGAAAACATTCTGTAAAAACGGTCCTTTATGTGATTGTGACTGATTGACAACAATTTAATGCGAAAATTATTTATATATATTTTATATAACTTTTTTTGTTGAAAAAATTGCTTTTAGTGCAATTGTTTTTTTTTATTCCTTTTTACCAGTTCTTGAGAATGAAACAAAATATCTTTCCGAAGCTTGTTGGAACAAAATAGGATATTCAACATTTTCCTCTCAATATTATAGTTATACAACGGAGATTTTGGTTGATTGAACAAAAAGTATTCAAAAAATTAAAACAAAACCCCCAAAATAAATAAACCTTTTATTTCATTAACAAGATACTTTTTTTTTAATTTTTTAAATCAACCAAACTTGGTACAATTACAAAATTGAGAGACCTAAACACGCTGTGTTCATGTCATTTTGTTCCAATGATCAGAGGTTCGGATAGATGTTTCATTTCATTCCGAACATATGATACCAAGAACAAAAGAAATGTTTGATGTGTTTTCTAAAACAATATAGAGAAAGCATATACTTGATAAAAGTGTATAATTCATGATCCAGGGGTAAATAACAACCTCAAGTTTCATTTGGTATGCAAATTATGATTTAATATCAAAAATTAAAAAAGTTATAGCATTTAAAAAAAGTGGAGTTTTTTGGCCCACCCTGTATATCTATTTCAAATTATATTGTTACCATTCAAAAGATGACCATTAAATTGAAGATTTGTAAAATTTTTAGAATTTGTTGATGACTGGTTTAGGAGAAATGTGTGTTCAAAAAGTTCACCATATCGATACCCATCCTTTCCAGGAATGTTTAGAAAGTTTAGAACTGATTAATTTTGGTGCATTCTGGGTAAATGTTAAAGTGGAAATTTGTGAATTTTCTCCTTAAATCTTGTTTCCAACTAAACCACAAAAATAGCAACATTTCAGATTTTAAAAGTCGTATTTGTAGGGAAATATCACTAACTTTGTAGGCGAAATATCAAAAGAGTTGTTATTTGTGCTAAGTACAAGCTTAGAAGAGATTCTGACAGCCCTTTTATTACATCTTTAACCGACAATTCAATGAAGAGCAAACTAGGATTGAAAATTTTAATAAACTCATTGGTATTTATAAGTTTTTTACACACTGGTAACGGGTCCAATTGTGTGGACAATGTAATATTACATCACGACATTGTCAACACAAATAAATGCGTTGAAAATTTACATTTGTTTGCCTAGAACATGTTTGAAGGGATATAAAGTAATAATTATCCCAACGAACGAAGTTCGGTAGGGATATAGTGAAGCCCTCCGTCCGTCCGTCCGTCCGTCAGTCCTTCAGTCTGTCAGTCCGTCTGTCAGTCAGTCAGTCAGTCAGTCCATCCGTCCGTCCGTCCGGAAGATAACTCAAATATTAATTGACGGATTTTCTTCATATTTGATGGAAAGATGTATATTGATGAATAGTTTTACGCAAAAAAAATTTTTCAAGATGGCCGCCGCTTTAAAAATGACGGGACTTTTTCGCAAAAATCATAAATTTTTCATTCTGAACCAAAGTAATTAATATTATAGTTTGAAATTTTGGTAGTATATTCGCAACATCTATCTATTTCACATATATTCCGTGTTTTTCATCCTGACCCCCAGGGGCCGTGTATGGGGGGTCAGGAAAACAGATATTTTCGCTAATTTTTAGATCTTTCTGAAGTATAGCTTTATTATACTCAAATGAAAGGCAATTAAGAGTAGATTGCAAATAATGTATCTTTTTTCTGATTCGAGCCTCGTAAAATTCAAAATGGCCGTCTAATGTACGATTTCGCAATAATTTTTCGATCCCTTCAAAGTGTGGCTATATTATACTCAAATTGAAGGAATTTTCGAGTAGATCACAATTATGGTATTATTTTTCATATTTGTACCTCAGAAAATTCAAAATGGCTGCTTTGCAGGAATTCACAATTCTAAAATCTAAATTTTTCAATTTTAACCAAAGTAATGAGTTTAATTGATTGGAATTCGGTAATTGATATGTTGTTCGTTGGGATTTGCTACTCCGTGGAGTTGCCTTTATCTAGTTTCAAATGTTAGTGAATGAAGTATTATGGTAACTGTTACACATCTTACTGATATTAAACGACAATAATTTGAGACAACCCTACTAGCAGCGAAAACAATCTGAATTTTTCAAAAATCGAACATGGTTTTGCAACTTTAACCATGGGCTTAGATAATTGAAAGCCCATGCTTTAACTAACAAGATCTCAACAATTAATGGGCTTATGCGAATTCACTTGCTTAGTGCGTAGGAATGTATACAAAATAATATTTCGATTAGTGAGGTAGTATTTTTTGGGGGGAGGGGCTTTGTCCACACATTTCATCATAGCTTCAAAAAAGTATCCACACTCATAACAGGGCGTGAGATCTGAACTGAACTAAAACCATTGAATTATTAAACTAATTTGCGTGCATAGATTATCCGCTTTGTCTTTTGCATTATTACATTAGTTAAATGCAGAATTAGTTACTAACAGATTATTTATTCACTAATCTCCCAAGAGGTGAATAACTCGATCTCTTAAACGATGCTCAACCGTTTATATTGCAAGTGGGGATTAAATTCGAGTAAAACATCCTATAAACATCCCGCTAAATCAGATAATGAGAATCCAATGTGAGATGGCTCGAAAATCGAAACTATTATTTTATCTAAACTGGAAGTTGGAACTTACAACATTTTAATCAACGGCGTATCAGTTAAATGAGTAGAGTGATAAGGTTTCTTTGTAGTACTATATCACGGTCTAGAAAGATCTGAAAATATTTTAGATTAGTCCGAATTGTTGTGTACACGAAATGCCATTTCGATGACAATGGTTCATAGGACTTCACATTTCCACTCCTACACTCTCTAATTCCATCTAATTGTGGATGATACGTATACCTTTTCATTGCTATTGCTGGTACCGTTCATGATATCTATCATAATTTTAAATTATACCCAGCTCATGAAGGACCATTGAACACTGTTCATAACGACATATAGCTGAGGTTCATATACAAGAGAATTATATCCGTCATACTAACAATCATATGAATAAATTATTGTTTTCCAACCCTGTACATTGGTCATTTCACCTTGTTATTGCCACGTGGCCACATTTAAAGATCTGACATTTTCTTGGTTCAGATCCATCCGAAAATGATAACCTGTGGTAGGGGAATATCGAGACACGTGAGCTGCTGCATTAACAGGGAGATACATCTGTCTATAAATGGCATCCTCAGTGACAATAACTTCACCTTCATCACCCTAATCACGTGGTGTTGGATTATTTCGACACAGGGTTCTCTATTCGCTAAACATGTTATATCTTTTTGAGTATCTAAAAGATACTGTCACGCAATTGTACAACGGATCAGTGCATATAAAATAAAGCTGAATTATCAACCTGTTTTACATAAATTGTGATTACAGGTGTACGCGTAATATTTCTTATAGAAATAACATTTTAACAAAATACAATCTTAAAATGAAAACTCGAAGCGATAGATTTCTAGTTTATAAGTACAAAGGCATTGAATCAGAGACATATAAACACGTTTTATATGTCTCTGATTGAATTGTATATTTCTATATTTAATCGCGTGCCGAACATAGACATTTTATAGTTTAGTTGAGGGATGAATACTGAGACAGTAATATGATGTATGGTATGACCGATGTTATGAAGAGACGTAATGACATTACAGACCAGTAAATTAATTATTTTAGCTATTATAGAATTCAATATCATATTAGAACAATAAATAGAAGGAGGAATTACTTGAATTACATTGCATTTTACAAGTTAATACTCTAAAAAGAGGTAGCGGAGAATCAAGTGGCGCACTCAATCGTTAACATGGAAAATATGCGGAGTGTGGATATCAAAAGTAATGCACCATGTTGGATACTCCCCGCGTGATCTGAGATCATTCGCAAACACGCGACCCTATCTACATGTATTATCACTTAAGATGCTGCGATATAAATTTAGTAAATGATTAATATCTAAATCGGTAAAGAATCTGTGAAAATAACACTCGCATGCGTATCTTGTATGCAATCTAATAATACGATACATGTGCTTATTCATACAAAATTGAAAGTTGGTATTTCTGTATTTGACATACCATACCAAAGAAGTGAAATAGATTTGGACCAAAGATGCAACAGGCAGCAGCTACATACTCGTTTTGACTGTTGTACACATGATAATAGTAAATTATTATCTAGATATTTTAAAACAAGAATTTGATCGGTGCAAGAAAAGGTGACAATGAAAGATGTTGAGTTGAAAATTAGAAGTCGAGTATAATATTTTAGTCGAGCTAATATTTTAGTTCATATCATTTCATATACTTTCATACATAGTACATATAATTTGAACCATATGTCATTCTAAACATATTAATACTTCATCACATATACATTGTAGGTTCAATCCTAATGCAGGAAAGGCAGACAGCTCAATCCCCCGTGGTTTACCTTTTCAGTAACTTGACACATCCCACCAATTGTTTTTATTTTGCCCGAGCCACAGATAAACGATATCATTTTAGTATAAAAACCGAGTAGATATTTTATTTGGATGTAGATTATTTGAGCTATTCCGAAAGTGCATTCCCTTGAAAGATTAAGCCGCTTACGGTTGGCGTTTATACTGTATTATAAGCCATAGTGATCAATATTCAACATCCATAGAACACCATCCCATAGTGGTAGAGCTTAGATATCATAGACAAAAGATCCCGCCGTTGTCATGGAGATCCTAATGATTGGCAGCTAGTCCCGCCCTTCGCAGCGTGTTCCCTGCTAGGAGAAAATCATCGATATAAAATATGGTGTGTCCCGGGAGCAGGATCATAAGGGACTTCTGGAACGCTAGGAGTGAACACTAATAATTCGTTTACAATAAACCCACAATACAGCAATATACTATAAATTGGAATATTCAAAATGTGCATTCTTAAGACTCAATTCGGAGATGAGATTCGTATATATTAACAAAGTCAACATATGAACGTCGTATAGTTTGAGAAATACCATTTATCAGAATTATTTCGATTGAATTGGAGGTATCGATGAACAGTTAGAATAGAAAGATCCGATTAGTAATACCGAGGCCGAATACAATTTAAGAAAGGGAGTAGTGTAGCCGCAGTTAAAGATTCGTACTCAAAGATGCACGACCAAAAGTTTATGCAATGTGCTGGATGCGAGGACCCAATTCTTGACAGATTTTTAATGAATGTGCTTGAAAGGACTTGGCATGCGAAGTGCGTACGTTGTTCAGATTGCACCGCTGCCCTTACGGACAAATGTTACGTTAGAGACGGCAAATTGTTTTGTCGTGAAGACTTTTTCAGGTGTGTATAAAAGTGATTGTGGATTCTATTGATAAAACTGACCTTTTTGGTGTGTACGGTTTAACACTAATTCGATATTGAGTGCATTTTACTAGTTCTAACTTCCATGATTCTGTGACCAAATATAAAAGTTGTCGAATGCATATACCTGTGTACCCTGAACATTATTTTGGTTGCCATATACCTGTGTATAACCATGCACTAAACATTACTTTTTGGTTGCATTTTTGCGACAAACGGCATGCTAGATGTATAAGTACATGATAATCACTTACCATTTTAGTCAAGATAGGTCCAAGACTTAAAATATTTACAATAGTTATCATATACTTGCTCTCATACGACAAATCTTAAGATTTCAGTACTAATTGCTCGTTGAATAAATACGTTAACTTGTAGAAGTATTGGTTTAATATCATTCCCTTTCTTACTAGTCAGGATTTAAGCATTAATATTTCACATAAAACTTGTACTTAATCGATCTAAACATACCTTTCATGAGTTGAAATCTATCATTGTGTTTTTGGAAGGATGACGGCTATATTAAATAATTCAAAATTCATTATTTACAGGTATTTATTATAAACTAGTGGATGATATAAACATAATCAAGAACATGTTAGTATATAACGATTTAAACTTTAAAATAAATATTATTATAATATTTACCAATTAAAATAAATTAAAAAAAACTGTATTTGATAGCAGTACACTTCAGCTCTTAATTGATTGAATTATATCATAACAAAAGGAACTCTCCTCGGGGTTTATTGCTAAATGTACAATAATTGGTAATCAATTGTATAATTGTAACAATAGATAAACAAACAAGTGGTACTGTGTAAAAAGACAATGGTATACATGTTAATACAAACACTAACATGTATGTGTACTTGTAAAAGTAACACTATGATTGTATAATAAAACTCTGATAAATGTAGAAACCACTGAAAGCTTGAATAGCAGTCTATGTAATACGTACCCTATGAGGCCCTATATTTGGGCAAGAACGAAAGCATATTTCAAGTCATAGTTGCATAACCTCTAAATACTTCTTTTTGTTATAATAACACATGGCACGCTTAATTTAAACTTTTAGCCTGTACGTAAAAGTCGATAACATTAAAACTACATCTGAATATACCAGTTTCTTTCATTTCATTACATAATACTTTCTACACCATCTAATTTCACTGCATCCACCAGTTTGAATATGATACATGCTATGCCAAGACACGAGTGTAAACACATAACAACATCTGTAACGTTTAAAACTCATAACCAAACAAAAGAAACATTTAGAATTACAAGTTATCTCCAGGTGTACTTGATGTAATGATTTTTGTTGAGTATTCTCAGTCATGAATGTTTTAAAATGTTTATCTAGATATAATGAAAGTGACCAACATTTCCTTTTTTGGTTCACATTTAGATATTTAAATCATTTTTCAAATGTTGTTTTCATACCTTGAATAACATCAAAGCCAAACATTGCAATAAAATGATGCCAAAATGATAGAACTATACTGTACAAGTGGATACATTTTCAGTATCAATCAATAAGTTAAATTCCATGCTATGTAAAACCGACTTCAATTGAATGATGCTCGACTAATGGGTAAAATGCATAAGAATAAGCAAGCACGTGACGACGATACTATTGTTTACCTGCCTTTATTATCAAGAAATCAAAACTAGAAAAATAACAATTGATACATAAACGGAATCCTAGTTGGGGTTTCTATTTTTAAACGGAAACAAATTCTATTGACTGGAGGTCGCGGCGTTTCCCTCATGCATTTTTATCGATTGTGCGATACTTGAAATGATCAACATTTACGACACAATTTTGATTGATAACTATAATTTAGTACAATTATGTCGTTTACTATTCCCGTATAGCAGTATTAGTCTATTGTTAATGTATTTACAAGTAAAGGGGGATAATATAGATCAATTTTCTATTTTTCTGTCATTAATTTAAAGGATGGATCAGCTTAACCAATTATATTGACGTTTGTGATGTCACTGCGAGCTGTTATTCATTTTTTATAACTGAGCAAAATTTGACTGTGCATTTTGTAACCATAATTTGATGTTCAAAATTTGAAAATGCAATTATAGCATTGAATCGAGAAGATCATACTAGAGCTTATGATCGCATTAGCATGGGAAACTAGCTGTTGAGAATTATCTATCAATTTTGTAATGATCATTAGATTCGACCCAATTCTGCAAGGCTTGTCATATTTTACAATTATCCTTATTGTAGTCGAATATATTATGATTAGAAAATTATATATATATGACATATATGTAATGGTTTTTAAATACAACCCTCATTTTAAAAGCTCAAACTATAATTAGAAATTAGTGTTAATTGTAATTGCAAGTTCTAGGATTATGAGTCATATATCAATTTCACTTTGCTTTGCAGCTATTGCCAGCGTTAGCATTACAGCAATATTAATATATAAAACTATTTCCAAATGTGAATTTTGACAATAAAAGTTTCCGTTGCACAAATTCAGGACATAAACTCCAAACTATTGTCTGTAAGCTTAGCAAATTGGCCAGTTTTCCTTTTTGTAAAGTTGCTCAGCGACACACACTAAAAAATATCAATGCAACATTTGTTTGTTCTCAAAAAATGCAAGTTGAATCCAATGTGTTACATGTACTCTCATTAATTGACAAACAAGCTCACAATTAAAACGTCTTCTTTATATTCTTCAAGTATCTGTTGTTTCGACCAGCAACAGAATCAATGAAAAAATAATGAAGTGACTTTTAATTACTCCTTTGAGTAAATTAAATACCTCTATTCAAATCCGGAATATTTTTACATTTGAATCACTTTTCATACACATATGGTAAATAGAATAATCGTGCTAGAGTAATTAAGATATTGTAAATAAACGTCAATTTCAACAAATTCATGGTAAATAGGTTATTTATGCAAATTACCCACTTGTGTACGTGACAGTATTGGATTAACATATGCTCGGGTGTATAAAAACATCTTCAATATATTAAGATTTTGATAATTGATTACTTGAATATTAACAAACAAATTTTCAGTTGAATCACTTTTCGCTGTTGTACGGCTCATGAGTTTTAACAGGGAAGGACATACATGAAACTTCTGAAATTAGTTTGAGTCAGAAGGAAAATAAGTAGCTGTGTCTCAGTACTTTCCTACATTAACCCATTGCAAACATATCTCGCACATATCCGATATATAATACAACCATAACCATTACTTATTTGAGATCACAACTGATAGTGCAAAATATCAAACGATATAGCCAAATATATACTGACAGCGCAACATATCACACGCACGCTCATAAGTAGAAATGCGAGTAGAGAATTTCATCAATTGAAATCATTATAGCAAGTGTGTATTCATTCTTTGAAGATACTAATTGAAGTGTAGTTATTGTTTCTTGGAGATTTTCCCAAATAATGACCGGTACTTATACACCAGGTTGGGTGGATTTACTCTTTCATCATCATAACGTTTGTTTATTTTGTTCCTTTCAGACGATATGGTACTAAGTGCAGTGGTTGTTCCTCAGGAATATCTCCAAATGATTTGGTACGCCGGGCTAGGAACAGAGTTTACCATCTGAAATGCTTCACGTGTATGGTGTGTAGAAAACAGATCTCAACGGGAGAAGAACTCTACGTACTAGATGAGAATAGATTCATTTGTAAAGAAGATTATCTGAAAAGTACATATGCAGGTTAGTTGGATTAATTATTGTACACTGTATACTTTTAGACGGCGTTTTTGCTGCATTCCTAGTCGTTATGCTTAATACAGAAACGCCAATTTTACAATGATTTTAGTCAATTCCCATACGATCAAAATTGATTCATAACTACCACATAAAAAATAAATAGACGTTTGTACTCAGCGCAGAACGAGACCACCCAAAATGAACCGATATTCCGACAACGAGCGCCTGCTTTTCAAGATAAAACAACAACCAAATTAAAGAAAACCCCAACCATGATCACGACACCTCCAAAGCAAATAAGGGACAACTATTAACAAAGTAAAGTGTTGCATGAGGCTGTAATGATCTAATGCACCGGTAGCTGGATTCATCCACAAGCTGCCCTCACTATGAGTCGTTGACGTGACACGATATATGTTTGATTAAGTTCTTAAAGACTACTTCATTCCCACTCAGCTCAACCAGTTACAGAGTTAATTTAAATAAACTCAATGACGATCGATCTTTGACCGAGAGAAGGCAGAATTATTTCTTATCTCGTATTTGCAGACGGGCAAATGGGAATTGAACCGAGTATTCTAAATTATTGATTCAAAACTGGCATATTTGTGGTAATATTAACCGTAAATGTAATCATGTTCGTTTGTTTTCGCAAAAGTCAACTTTTCAAAGTACATTTTCAATCCCAAATGATAAAAAAAATAATTATAGGACAAGGGTCACAATTTTTAATGTTAAATTGTAATATTATTTATTATCGAAAATGATTTTCAAATACGCGTCAGGACAAATACAAGCCAAGAGACAATTTTGGCTTAACATGGTCCAAATTTAGGGAAGGCAGGAAATATTGGAATGGCTATATAGTTTTAAGTTTCATTTCTAATCAGTTGATGTCAACATTGCTTTTGTCTCTGGTTTCACTAAAACTTCATTATAGGAAAACGTCAGCCAAAATACATATTTGGGCTTATAATATACCAAATTAATACCAAATGAACTTTTTTCTTCGTGGTTAGAAGGAAAGTATATTGCATTAATTTAGAGGCAATCTTTATACGTCAAAATAGAAATGTTAATGAATAAAATGAACGAGTGTCGTTAATAGTTACTAGTTTAACAGAAATAGTCTTCAGGCTTTTAATTCTGAAAATGTTATTTGATTAAATATGTTGCACCCATTGCTTGCTCTCTGAGTATTCAAATATTTCACGAACATATTATGCGAATTCAAATGCAAAAGAATATGTAAATACTCAAAATTTAAAGTTTTCAGAACAAGACATTTTATTTTATAACAATGAAGGAGATTTTGAGAACAAATGTCATAGAAACCAGCTTGTGTTTAAACACAAGTTTGAAATTTGGAAACTTAGAAATAGTAAAATCTATAACCAATAAGTTCTGTATATTATGTACAAATTGTATAAATGTTTCAATGTTAATAAATTAATTTTAAAAAAATTATGCGAATTCAAATGTACTCATAAATTATAATTAATAACATGATTTCTGTCATTGTATTCCTTTAAGAAACAGATGGTAGTGGGGTTGTCTAAAAAAGAAATTTATATATTCCTTCCGATCATCTGATGATGTTGTTTGGGTTGAAGCCTATAGAAATGTAGTTTATATGTATGTGTACGGGAACATAAGCAGGTACAACAAACACAGTGACAAACAATTAATGTAAATATGCAACTCAAACATCTCTTCAGCTGGATCAAATACCATATAATCCCTGTTAATCCACGAACTTGACCAATTTCGAGACCTACCAAGGCAGCTTCAGTTTCACCTTTAGTTTCAGTTCTAGTGGAGTTTCGTTTGTTCAGCACCTCTCTCAAATCCACTGAAGTAGCACTCGTGTTCTTGATCGGAGGGAACATGCTATTCACATTTCAACAGTGTCAGGTGTGCAGGGATTACTTAAATTCATCGATTCTTCTAAGCAGAATTACAAACTTTGATAGGAGTTTAGTAAGATGCCGTTTTTGTTATTTCATGTTCGTGTATAAACGATTCATAATAATACATTTTTGTTTGGTTTAATGTTCTGATAAAACTCAACAATGTATTTGATGCAAAACAGAATTGTACTCAATGGTTTCTTCAATGACTTCAACAAAAAATACAAATTGTGTCGCCAGTACTCAGCGTGTCGAAGACGTCTACACAGGCCTACCTTTTTCAGTTTATTTCATAGATTTGAACTCTATGGAACGTGTACCAGTCGTTCTGATTGTGTCATTTGGCAGTTGGCACAATATCGATACGTTATGCCACTTTCAATAATTCTTCATTGTTCTTAGGTAAGAAACACGGATTCATATTTTACAGGTGGGTTGTTAGACAATCCCCTTTCAAAGCACTAACGTCATATCCTAAATCGAATATTTAGCATATCCCAAATGACCCAATGGTCGAAAGTGTAAAATTATAAATTGTGGCATGTAATGGAGGCACTCTGGACTAGTGCTAACTCAAACTAAAACCGTTGTCTACCAATCTAGATATTTCATTAACTTCATTTTATCTTTTGATAATATTACAAGGGATATATCGGGTTTATCTAGCAGTGCACCTTTTGTTTTGAATCACTTACAACGTCGGTGTAACAATTGTCGAATAAGAAGTCTTTTCATGTTAAAATAACAGCACTGTCTCTTATAAGCTTGCCACCGCACGTCACTTTCTCACCATGTGTTTGGCTCTGATCTAGATACGAACTCAAACAATAATGAGGGCGAGACCAACCATACTCTGGCATTATGTTAGTTCTGCATAAAAATAGGTTTGTGGTATGCCTCAACCGCCCCATCATCTTGTGAATGATATGGAGTTGTAAGCATTAACGATATGCTTGTTTTATCGTCTAGTTAATTATATTAGCATCGCACTAATTACTTCTAAGTGCATACATTGAAATCTTAATCACCCGAATAAGATACAATTGTAGTAATGAAAAAATTAAAAAACAATATGATATAACATTCTGTCACTGCTACATAATTCAAAGCAGCGATATGTCAACATACAATGTATGTTAGTCTTGAAATCCTGACACCACGCTCCCCTTACTAGTAAGGTATGTAAAAATGGAAAATGTTCAGCGTGTAAGTTTTGTTTGTCCTGACTTGTGTCGGTATACATCTTGTGATTCTTTGCATGTAGAGACTCATCCATATTTAATCCTAAGCTATCAGCTTGACGGGTAATAGAGTTGTATGGAGATATTCAGTACAGAAGTCAAGCAATCCATCATATAACGGGACACATGCATTGCTTAATGTTCCATTCGTAATTGAAAACTGAGTCAAATCGACTAGAAACAAAAATACCATTGGTTTTGGAATAGTAATAGGGAACTGTGGTGATTATATACATGAATCTTATGTTAATAAAGTTATATTCTAAGAAAATGACATTTTATCAATTTGCCTACCTTCGAGATAGATAACTATACTTTCAGTGATGCTGTATGACGGGCATTTCTAATTGTACACTCAACTTGGAATTCTTGTTTTTAAATGGTTACGCATTAATCTTTATTTTCTGATTATAACATTAAACAAAGTATATAGCATAAATAATTCATGATACATACTTTGAAATATTATTTGTCTTAATTTAAAGCAATCAATCTAATATTTCATGTCTTTTCTGATTATTAGCGAATGATATACAACGTATCATGTGTCTCATAAAATAACTAGGATGGTATTTCCAGTACTAGCCAGATGCAAAACTCACGGTCCAATGCGCACTGATCTCAGGAGCTTAGTTGTGGTGTGGTACTATATTATCTATCAATGAGTACACCTTGTTGTGTGCATGCTCAGCTAGGTATGGTAAAAATACGAAGAACAACTTCAACAAAACACGAGCGTACTCAAAATGTTAAACTTTGATATTAAGAAAAAATGAACCAGATTAACGTACCATAAGAAGAAAATATGTAATGAAAGAATATTACCTAAAAACAAAAATTCTTTATAAAGCCATTGTATTGCATCAAATTAATTAGTTTTTTTAATATTATTTTGAATTTGGTATTTTTGAGACTGTCGGAATAATGGCAATTTGACCGAGTGTCAACAGAACAGAATGTTTCCCCAAGAAGTTTTCTCACAATATCCATCTCTTGACACCATCAACGAGCAATTCGTCTTGTAAATGTGCAAATGACGTGTCTTAGACTCTTTGCAATCTATTATCACCCATTTTCTCGGCGAATGAAGTGAGAAATACCGGAAGGTGTTTCAGGAACGCGATACAAATAGTTTTGAAGCACGCTCTTGCCTTGGATATAAACTTACTGTAACCAGGAGGGTAATAATGTTGAAGTCTCGCCGGTCGATGAGATATAAGCGGAGAGATTTCCCCGTGAGGGAATACTCAAATACATATTATGATTTTAAAACAATATCTCTTCACATTTTGTTTGAATTTAGCAAAACAATTAACGTTTTGGTCAAAATATTTTTAATAGTACAATAACGTCATTTCTAAGGGCGATATAGTGAAATATTGGACCGAGGGCCGAAGGCCCAAGGTCCAGTATTTCACTATATTGCTCGCAGAAATGACGTTATTAGTATTATTACCACCGTTAACGACCAGGACTAAAACAGCAAGAAAATCTTACGCATTGAACGATATCTAATTTCCCGGGGAAAATTGCCGGTCCAGAATATATTCTAGACCGGTCCATATGGACCACCACTATGACGTCACACATTTCTCAGGTCGATATAGTAAAATAAACGCCTTCTAAACTAGCACTTAAACCTCTAGAACTGGCCCGGCAAGGTGGTAATAATGCAAATTATGATATGGCTCCTTTTCTCTTTTGGTCTTCAATTAATTTCCTGCATGTATGTAGTTGAAGACATAAGAATCATGACCCAATTTAAAACATATACATACATTATATAAGCCCATCGGATTACTAGTTCAAATCGAGACATAAGCGTCAGTTTTTCTAGTCTTTTATCTTGCAAGGGAAAATTAAATAATTAATGGGGTAAAGTGAGTTGTGTTCGATTAAATGACAAACACACAGAGCAGGTGAGTGGGCACAAGACCCCGGGGAACCTTGGTACAGTACCGTATGTGCCTTGCATGTCAGAATACTCAGTCTTCTTAGTATCTACTGTAAACATTTCGTGTAGAGTTTCGTATACTAAACGTAGGTTATTGAATAACTTGCTCTTGATTTATTTAACATTAACTGCTATTAAGCACACTGAAAAGAAGTTTTATCAATTACAAATCAGGTATATCATGTTCATGTATTTCAAGGGTCGATAACCTTTGTTCTTTGATGTTATTTGAGTCTTTTTGGTTTGTTTTCTAATTGTTGTGGTTTTTGGAATGTTTCTAAGTTTTTTAGCGAGTTGCACTTTCGTATATCTTGCTGGTTGTTTTTGTCTTAAGTGGCTTTTCAATAAACGTAGCATTGTGCGATTCTGTTTTTTCTCGTACACTTAAAGCATTTCTTTCTTGTGGTTTTCTCATGACATCATAATTATCTCCAGCATTATACTGCATTCACATCAACTTGATTCCTCTCATCCCTATTTTTATTTTCACATTTGACATTTTAACGTAGAGGTTTTTCTGCGGAGAACATAACAAAGGGGGACTTAGACATTTCCCGCAGCAATAACAGAACGTATTATCCCATTGTCAGAAGCATTTATAAATAAAGTATAGATAATGAACACTGAATAGGCCTAGCTATCCTGCGTTCTTAATCTGGCAGCTATGGAAACAACAGTTAAATATAATTCACTTTTTAACTAATTTAAGTTTCAACTATACAATACAAAAATCCACCTGGGGAATTTAGTCTAATTCACACGAGTTTTCGACATCAAAACATAATGTAATTATCTCCAATTATTACACATATTAAGGATGGTCTAATACAAGTAAAGCTATTAATGTCTTTAATAAAGAAGCTTAGGACGAATAAAGCTGAATAAAACATGGAATTATTGGCCTCAATCGCTCAGTAATTTACTATCTGTTACTAAGCCGTTCGAAGGGACTCCTCGGCTCGTAGTGCGAGAATAAACCATTGTGGATTTCAAGAGTTGTCATCTATTTTATGTACCTAGGATTGTTAACCGGATCCGAAATTTGATTGGATTATTTTTTATGAGAAATTGATAGCCTTTTGAAATATTTAATGTGAGTGTGCCTTGTTTTATATGAGCCACGACGTTGTATTGGCTATAGTGAGTCGATGTCGTGTGCTCTTACATTGACCACAGGACTTCCTGGAGAAATCATAAGTGCATTTAACTGAGGACCGAAGGTCCGTGTTCGCGTCCGCGTTGCCGTGTCATTTGATACTTCATAACATTTTACATTATTCCAGTTTTTATGAAGAAGACATGCAAGAACATCAAGATTTGAAATCAAAGACTAGTCTCGGTTTGGAGAACGAAGTTCATCAGTCTAGTGCACGATGCGCCTGCTTTGGACAATTTTGATATTTTAACATATTCATTGTAGATTTAAATCTCCTCTTTTGAATATCCATATTTTTGGGTGATATATCTATATATTTTTCATAAAAAAAGTCATTAGCGTAGTACACTGATGAACTTCTTCCTCCAAATTGAGACTTGTTTTATTGAATCGGTCTACTGTTCGTTACGCCTGCTTGGGACAATTTTGATATTTTTACATCTTGTAGATTTAAATATTTAAATGTCCTCTTTTGAATATTCATATTTTGATTTGGGTGATATTTCTATATTTTTCATTAACAAAATTATTAGCCCAGGAGACTGTTCTCTAAACCGAGACTTGCCTTTTTAATTTTTTATTTTTATGTATTACTTACCTAGCGAAGCATTTGTATGGAAGTCAATGGAGCTGAAAGTCGGCTATACGAGGGTTGATCATAAAGTTCTCATAATATCTCTCCAATTTCTTTATTTTTTAATATATTCTAATGAAATTTTCACAGAATGTGCAGCATAGAATGTCTAATTAATTTAGCTAAAAATATTTAGTTTAACAGAAATATTAAATAAGAAATGGTTGCCATAGTAACGGGAAATCAAGGCACCCGGGGCAAATAAATGTAATTGAGAGAATGGCTCTAATTAACCATTTTAACACACATAATAAACTCTCAAAAATTATCAAACACGTTAAAATGTTAACTTGAATATGTTGTTAAGTGCTTTTACTATTAAAAAATTTATCATTTGGATTGTGTGATGTCATAGGGGATGCTTTCATGCTTCATTAGATGTGATATCAGAGTCTGAGACTCAAAGCTTATCAAAAACGACTGAGTAAGAGAATGCAGTAGATGCAGAGATCTTCAGAAAAATAAAATTCATATTGATAAAATGTTATGTTAAGTTTGTAAGATCCTTTGGTCAGACTAAACAAGATCTAAAACAAATATATTGCTAAGGTATCAACAAAATTACACCCTGTGTGTGGTTTGTACATGTTAAAAATGAACTAAAGGGGCAAAATAAATTTTCCTCGGGATATTTGACAAAACATTCATGGGGTCTAACAGTCACTTCTAATGAAGCGTAACAATCATGCATTATGAGATCACACAATTCACATGACCATTTTAATAGTTCACAACAGTCAAGATCACATATTATTTGACAATTTAATGTGTTTGATAGCTTATTTGACAACTTATTATGTATTTACCATTTCTTACTTAATGTTTCTGTTATTCTAAATATTTTTGCTGGATTAATAAAACATTCCATGCTGCACATTCTGTGAAAATTTCATAGGAAAATATTGAAAAATAAAGAAATCGGAGAGATATTATAAGAACTTTATGATCAACCCTCGTATATTACTGTATAGCCGCCAAACGTTTTTACCATGACTGGAATCGTGTAAACTGTTTTGCTAAACATATGTGCGACATACATCAATAGAATGATGTACAAATTCACCAAAATTTGTTTAGCATAATACTGGTGGTACAAATCATTTACCTATATATTTACAAGAAAGACACGCATTTGTACAATACTATTATACTATAAATAGTTTTCTTATTTTAATCTTATTTTGATATATGTAACTTACTGTTGTAAATCTTCAATATGAAGGAAATAAAACAATACAATACAATACAATACATATTATATTTATGAAATGTTGTATAAATGTACTTTGGTATGTTATACAACAATTATGTCCTTCGGTCCGTCGTTAATATAACCCTCACAAGCTCGGGCTATATTGACGTCAGACCCCAGGCATATATTCAATGATAGGGACATAATATGAGGTTATATAATGGTTGATTCCGTATATCGTGTTTATACTCAAGTGTGTATATGATATATTCACGAGTGACTGAAGGGAACGAGTGAATATATCATATACTCACGAGAGTATAACGATATACAGAATCAACCATTATATGATCTTATTATCCCACCCTAATCTTTAATCAATAAAAGGTTAATCTAAATTCAGCAGTTGTATATCAAGTCGAAGAGTTGTATACGCTGCCCAGGAGTTGTATACGCTATCCAGGAGTGTGTATCGTTCTCAAGAGTTGTATACGATGAGTGTTGGTTTTATATTGCAGTTATACAATGCTATTATACAATCATATATAAAGCACTTAGGGTGGGATAATGGCTAAATATAGCATGCTAATTTAAGGCAAGTGCAGTTGCTCATCGTGCCCAAACATATGTATCATAACCTTGTTGTCGCACCTAGATCGTCTGATAAATATATGCATGGATATATGTATCTGCAGGGTCTGATAACGAAGACAACACAAACGATGACGTTAACAGTGTAAACGCTTATCCAACTATCGCCACGCCACCAATGGAAAATGTATCACAAACAAAAGAAGTTATTTCATCGGCGGACGAACTTACTAAAGACTCTACTGAAATAGAAAACAACAATAATATCCCTGATGATGAATTGACGATAAAGGAAGAAGATGATATCGATGCCGATAGCACCATTGCTGGGGAAGGTCAGGATAACTCTGCAGGAGGGAAGCGCAGAGGGCCGAGAACAACGATTAAAGCAAAGCAGCTTGAAACCCTTAAATCAGCATTCACTGCCACGCCTAAGCCAACACGTCACATACGCGAGCAGTTGGCGAAAGAAACAGGTCTTTCGATGAGAGTTATACAAGTAAGGATTGATAATATTGTACATGGGCATATAATACTTTACGTATAATACTTTTAATACAATATATTATAAAGCGAAATGAATTTAATGAAAAGGGCATTCACTTGGCACATTCATACAATTATTTTTGAGATTTGTGGATATGTTGGGATAACTTGAGAAGAAGCACTTTATTTGACATATTTTTGAAAAAATCCATCTGGACGAAAATGCTTCAATCAAATGGGATTCAAATGGGATGAGCATTTTCATCAAACAGTTTTATTCACGTTTTTTAAAGTACATTATCACATCACAACATGATTTCAGGTTTGGTTCCAAAATAGAAGATCTAAGGAACGAAGAATGAAACAACTAAGTGCTATGGGTTCACGAAGACATTTTTTCCGCAATCCACGGAGGATGCGTGCGCTTCGGACAGGATTATCACCCACCGAATTCGGTGACAGTCCCGACATGATGGATTACAACTACTACCCAGGTATAATACTATCAATTTTAACAATCTTAATTCATGTCCTTGGCCTACCAAACTTTGTTTCCGGGCAGCAACGGTACTCTTATCCTGACACATTATTAAGTACACGTCGTATGGATTGACATAATTCTAGGCTTAATAAAGATGGAGGGAATAAAAACTATTTGATTCATATTCAAATATTGAATTGTTCTTGAACTGAAAGAGTAGGTCTAACTTGGTTGCATTACACGTACATATACTGATGTACAAATGAACCATGAACCAATCTTTACTAAATCCAAGACTTGTTTTCATAACTAGTAACTCATATTTACAGAAAACGCAAGAGAAGAGATGTACGCAAACTATCCCCCGGGTGGCTATGAATATTTCCCAGGTCAGCAAGGAGACCACAGTTCAATGAACTTCATGCCAGAGTCCGGGGCTCCTGTTACAATGATGGACAGTAGAGCAATGCACCCTGCTACAGGTAAGCCTGTAAACATATAATTTCTTATAATTCCATCTATAAATCTACACAATGCGAGCTGTGATGTTGTGCGCATAGTGCACCTATTCTAAATCGAATTACAATACTTCTTACCTTCTTGTATTTGGGATTCGTTCCTGATAATCAATTAAAAGATATAGCTGAAAATGTAAACTTGATGAAATGGTCTTTCTCAACTGAAGATGCATTTTTTCCATAATCCATTCATAGTAGCCTAATCAAACTAATGTTTTTATTTCAAGGTCCGCCAATGGGCAACACAGCTTATAACCAGGATATTCTTCCGCCTCAAACCTCTTCCCCCAGCTGCAGTCCGGATCCCGCGATGCACGAAAATTTGAACGAGAGTATGACATATGAGAACAATATTCTTGGAAATGACTACGGTCATCCGCAGCCTCCCCAAGAATTACCACCTCAAGAAGCCTGGCGATAGTTTTATGTCATATCTTAACGTTTCTATGAATTGACTAGACCACAATAAAGGTCTCCTTGAATTACTTTGTTCTTGATTCGAGAACTCCAAGAAGCAGTGGGGCCCAGGATTACGACAATCTGTTCATTTTATTACAATAGAATAAATGCGAGGGGTAGCCATAAACCGAGCATGTGTAAGCCTACGAGGTATGACAATTGTGTACTTTCCTTAGATAACTGATTTACTGTGCCCATGGCCATTATCCCACCGGAATAGCCTGACAACGGTAAAGTCAGATACCGTTGTCACAAATGGCGGACATAACCGTCGCTTCAATTAGATTTTCATGAACAACAATCAATCAAAGTGTCTTTATACTCATTGAACAGGTAATGATGTTCTACCATCGGAATAAAGTCTTTAATTTAACCGAACAAAATGAGATACGGGACAACGGACACTGTAAATACCATATGCCGTTGTCTTTGAAAATTATTTCAAACTCAGATTCCGTTGTCATTGACTACGCTATGTTTTGGCGATTCACTTCCCAATTTGATCAAAATTGGGATTTCATATGATACATCATCAGAAGAGCTTAATACATGCACAGAATTAGCGACGATAAAATCCCATGAAATGAGGACCAAGTGATTAAAGAGTTGAGGCGACGGTTATGTCCGCCATTTGTGACAACGGTATATGGCTTTACCGTTGTTAGGCTATTCCGGTGTGATTATTAGAAGGACGACACAAATCATGACATTTCTGGGTAATATTCCTAGACTGGGTCAACAAGGAAATAACCACTCATCGTATTGTTTGAATCGTTTGTATCTATTTCAGTTTCAGTTTCAATTATTTTGGTTCAGTTTCTAGACTTTATATGTTGATGGAATCGAACAGATATGTGGTGTGGAGTTAAAACCTTCCCATGCTTGGGTATGGCAATTAATCAACCAGCAGCTTGGCATTCATGCGTTTGCGAACTGATTCCTTAGGGCATTGAATTGCCATGTGACTTTAATTAGCCAATCCTTATATCTAAACATGGCCACGTGATCATTGTACCGTGATATTACCCCTAACTTTAGTCACATGATTTTTATTCAGCCATTTATGGCAGTTCCGTATATAAATAAATGCCCAATGTCTGCATCAACTAATATAATGACTTTAATTAGCCTTGCATAATGGCTTAATATTGTCATATGACCATCATGGATGACATGCAACTTTAATTAGCTATGACAACTCGATAGAGTCAAATGACTTTTGTTTGCATTACGGCGGGTATTTGGGATAGTCATGAACTTGCCATTTATCACAGCATTGTTGTAACGTGGCCCACAACACTACATTCAGTGTTCTTAGTCATTGTACCAGCATGTCAGTCCGATGTGCATACAAGCAAGTGTATAGGTTTTGTTAACGGACATCAACAAAAACATCAAGTAGTTCAATTAGCTAGATGTATAATCTAGTCAGCATTTCTAGCTAGGCTCCAGGTGCAATGTTTATTTTACAAAAACAAATATGTGCAATATTCAAAAGTTTTAACGGGTGTAGAGATCGTTAACTTGTAATTTTCACACGATATTATGTTTTCATGTATGGCTTAATACAGTATTATAATTTATATTTATTTATTGTTATATGTAGAGTAAATAATTTATAATTATTCCAGAGAATGTAGAATCATGTAATATGTGTAGGTTTATTCTACAAAATGAATAAACATGAAATATATGGATTAAAAATATAATGTGTGGCTGTTTTATTTGGGATGATTTGTGGTTTCTTTCGATTTGACTTTTACTATCATGGGCACAACAACATATTCATATAGAGTTGTTCAGAAAGAAATTACTCGAAACAATCATAGTAGCTCCCAGTTCGTCCGACGGAAAGTGGAAAAATAATAGTATCATGGTTTCGTTGATTAATCTTCCAATCTTATTTGCAGCTTGGATTGATTTAAATAGGTATACGCTATAATCGTATTCCAATGAATGAATATAACGGATGTATCCACGTTAAGCTCATTCAGTCTCATTGTTATCTCATTTTCCAGATTTAGAGCCTCTTTCTGATAATAAGCAGACGACATCAGAATCCAATTAAAATTTTAGTCCCCATTCTATCCGTTCTGTTATCTCTCGTTGTATGAAATATCAGAGAGTTGAATTTCTAAGATATGCTAAATCAGTCAGAAATTTTATCCAGATAGTAACAAGAATATGGTATTTCAAGAGATAATGTAGATTCAAACTATGAATGGAGAAACTTGGATTGTTATCTCTGTATGAATTGCTATATTCAGATAAAAAGTGTTTCCCATAAACTATCATTAAGTCGTTTTTCATTAGACAGCGATAGCAAGTCCAGTATTTACTAACATTACACTGTCAAAGCAAACAGCTCACTAACATATCGCCCTATGAGAATAAAAATGTCCCAACTCACATTTTTGTGAAACTGAGAAATCAATTGTTGAAAGTTTAGGCATCTGTAACTTCAATACTATCCATTTGTCATATTTGTGAAATATTCTTTTTATCAAAAATTTGTGTATATACACGACTAAAAAATTCCTGAATTTTAAGATTTTCTAAGCCATTTTTAGCATATTAAAAATGGAGATAAGACAATTTAATTCCGAGTTTTTCGTTAAATCGAAAGATTAAAGCTGAGCTATGTCCATTTTGCTACATGTATTTTCAATGGACAAAAAATTTCTCTATTCATTTTTAAAAAAATAAATCCAAATCTCAATTTATAATTCTTAGTCACATGGTGCAATTCAAACAATTTGATTGGTTAAATTAAAGTGATACATAGAACAAATGTTAAATTGTATTTTTGAATTTTTTATGGAGTTTGGACAATTTGACACTGAAAAGCAGGCTATTGAGAAGAGATAGAGGTAAGGGAATATCAAAGTAAAAAAGAGGATGATTTAAATAGTGGAAATCTGTGAAAATCCCATTTTTTCAAAAATGGCACTTGGAACATTATTATTCTCATACGACAATATACGTGCAAAATAAGATAATGTAACCAGAACCAAAGAAAATTAAATATGCTGGAATATATTTTATGATCATAACTTCATTAAGTGTCATATCTTACTAGATTTTTATAAACCGAATGGCAAAGGAATTCAAAAAGCACATGCTGCAGGATTCCAATTCAATGAGAATGAATATCCAAAAACAAGAAAAATCATGAAAATCCATATTCAAAAATAGTAAAGCAGATTTGGTATAAATAATTTGTTTAAGAACAAAATTATTTAAATACGGGGTTGTGTAACGTTCTAGCCTATTCTGGTAAAACCAATCACAGGTGCATAAGTATTACTGTACAGTACATTCATCAATGCATTATAATTATACATACTGTAGCATATACGATAAGTATGGGCCGGCAGGTACGTCCATAAGTGTGATATTCTTACGTACAGACGACGATTTACTACCCTTTGCATTCGTTTGACTTCACTTCTTAAAAGAGAGCTTCGTCTTGTAGTTTAACTAGACTCTACGCAGGGTAACGATTTACAAGAATACCACACTAATGGACGTACAGAGCTGCGCAATAAATGAGCACGTCATCGAAAACAAATATAAGTTATACGTTAAACGGGAATAATAAACATGCTATAAGTGAATTGCGATATCCCCCTAATACATACATGGACATACACTCCCCTCCATAAGTTGGGCAACCTTAGCTCCCCCGATGAACTACGTGTTAAAGCCTCTTTACGTTTACATTTTTATTTACTTACCTGCGATGAAATAACTTATAATATTGATGGAAACGTAACTTGACTTTATTTCCAATATCTCCAAATTTTCCCAATTTTTTTCCTCAATTACAATAGGTCGAAAAAATACGTCACATTACGTTTCCATCAATAGTAAGTATTTTCTTCGCAGGTTAAGTAAATAAAAATTCAAAGGTAAAGAGGCTTTAACACGTAGTTCAATGGGGGAGCTAAGGTTGCCAAACTTATGGAGGGGAGTGTAAATATGAATTATATTTATAAACTATAAATATGAGCGACATGTAATTATACAATTCACACGAAGGCGCGATCATCCATACTGATAATACAAAAACAAACATCGGCCTACTTGACATTTAACTCTTTCATAAAGAATGATGATATTTAATAAGAGAGTGCAGTTACACAATATTTGACTAAGTACAGAAGAATAAGCTCCACTGGAGACTACCTTTGCATACGTTAAGTATTCATGGGATATGGAATACTTTCCGAAATCAGTTTGACAGGAAAATAATGGAACATCAGAAGCGTGAATAACCTCCACTGTTAAATTTACACCTTACTTGCTAAATGTGAAATTGTCTTTTGTTTTTTACTGAAGTGATCTGGCACGTCAGACACACGTCAAAGTTAATATTCCACGCTATAATTCATCTCGAAAATGAGCAAATTCCAGTTCTCTTAATGTTGCAGCTGGAAATTGGAAGAGCTTCTTTTTGGTCTATTAGTTCGAAATTAATGACATTTTAACAATTTCATTACAGTACTCCTTACACTACACTGTTTTATGCTTGGCTTCCAATTAACTGTAACCCTTTAGGTCCTGGAACATGAAAGGTGCAACATTAAATCGATTCAAAATAAATAGTCGGAACAGAGGAGTTGCTCAATTCTCTATTGTACTGTTGTTGCTATATATATATATATATATGGTAAGGTCTGACAGAACCTCCTGGTTATATCGCCTCAAATATTACAGTTAAGAATTATAAGGCTGCGAATGTTTTAATATATTGCAAATTAAGAAAACGTTCGAGGGAGCTAGGGTTAACGTGTCATGGGAATCTCTATGAGTTACTAGCGAGATTAAAGTTTAATAAGATGATGGTTGTGGATCGTTGTCAGTGCAGGTGATAGAACAGTACATATCTCTAGACAATAATACAGGACAATGTCATTTAGAACACTATTCATTTTACACATAAAGCAATATTGAATAAAAACTCGCAAATCCTACAAACTATATTAATTAATATGAAAACGTAGACCGTAGTATCTAAATTTATTAGATGGATTTTAAATGATGTGGGTCATGATCAAAATAAACATGGACAAATAAAAAATAAATTGCATCCCAAAAAGCTCGTCAATTATTCATAATTAGGGTTTAAGCGGATCTCTCACACGTTAAATTCCGTAGCATGCGTAGCAGTCGTGGAAATACTACACAAAACACATACATTAGGGACACAGAATCGAAGAATTGTTAGGCGAATTCCCAAGATATTATGCTTGAAGAAAGCGGAATAAAACACTTCTCTCGCACACTATGTCAATACCAGAAAATCGAGATAAATACAAAGTACTCAAGAGGAA